TTATGAGAGAAGAAGGATCTATGGAGGGTGTATATTTAGGCAAATGGAAGAACAACAATGGTGGCAAAAACAAGAACAAGGAATTGTTCCAAGAGAGCCATCAAAATAATAGCACTCAAAATTTTTCACCATGTCCTTATTGCAAAAAGACTAATCATTCACAACAGAGATGTTGGTGGAGACCTGATCTAAAATGTGACAAGTGCGGACAATTAGGACACCTAAAATATGTATGCAAATCTCATGAGCAACAAGAAGAAGCCAACATTGTTGAAGATCAACAAGAAAATGAAGAAGAACAACTACTCTCAATGTCATGCTTTATGACCAAAAAACCCTCAAAAGCTTGGATTATTGATAGTAGTTGTACAAACCATATGACTTATGATCGATAACTCTTCAAAGAACTCAACAAAACTAATATCTCTAAAGTCCAAACAGGGAATGGAGCACACCTTACAGTAAAAGGCAAAGGAACAATGTTTATTAAAAGTCATTTAGGTTTGAAATTAATATCTAATGTTTTATATGTTCCTGATATTAATCAAAATTTGTTGAGTGTTGCTAAGTTGTTGGGAAAAGGCTATAAAGTGTTATTTGAAGATAAAAATTGTGTGATTAAAGATATACACAACAAAGAAGTGTTCAATGTTCATATGAAAGGCAAAAGGTTTGCTTTTAAATTTAGAGAAGGAGGAGCCAATTATAAATGAAGATACAAGTGAAGAACACAAAGATGCATATCTTCAAAAGAAGTTTGATGATCAAGAGGAGAATGAAGATGATGAAAAACCACCTTCAAAAGAGAAGTTTTAAACAAACGCTAAAGTGGTCCTACTCAAGAAGAATTGCAACAAAAATCACAAAAAGAAGAAACTGATCAAAAAGAGAAAAGACAGATTTTGAAATTCAAATTTAAATTAGATGATAAATATATTCAATCAATGAGGAGTGTTAGGAATATGCCTAAATATCTTTAGGAAAATAAATTAATTTTTTATAAGAATATTTTATTTATATTTCAAATATTTAGATTTAATCTGTTTTGATTATTTTAGGATTTGTTTCCTTATTTTTAGAATAGGATAATATCAATATTTGATTGTGTATAACAAATTTTCTCGATACATAGAGACTCATGAATAAAATTAGATCATACTTCTCTGATAAAAATAACTCTTATAAAATATTCCTTAAGATAAATATCATTAAATAACTCGATCAGGGCCTACTTTTACAAATCATTTAGTATAGTAACTAATTTAAAGTTACATAGTTTTTTAAGCATAAAAATAAGTATAAAATGATTGATTTTGGTAAAATAAACAAAATAAAATACATTACAGAAGAATTAATTACAATAACAAAGAGACAAATATTCCCCAACATGTGCCTCGAATTTTTTAAGAAATGTCTCGGATTGATCAATAAAAATGATTAGCTAAACTTTTAGTTGCAGGTATGTGTAAACGATCCTCCAACATATGTTAGAGGTTAAAACACTTAGATGTAGAGGCTTATATTTATATACTAGTTAATGAAAGGTTATGTCAACCTGTGTGTGATGTTAGCATGCCATGACATTGACATAGTGAGTTAGATTGACAAGTTTTCCTGAATTAATTAGAATAAGCCATAAAATTATGTCTCCAGTTTGTTTACATGCAGAATGTTCCATCAACTTTTAAATTGGAAAAAAAAATAACGAATATTTGTAGCATACAAAATTTATATCACCTGTGTATAATTTTAAAATTCACATATTTTTTCAGAGATATATTGTTTGAATATGGGAAACACAATGAAACTGAGGACTTTACTATTTGAGTTGGGCTTATGATATATAAACCTCTATTTTATATAAGTACACCTTTTAAAAAAAAAATCTTAAAATATATTTAATTTTTTATTTTTTTATATACATCTTTTTCTTTTTTTGTTTGACTCATGATATATATATATATATTATATATATATTAAGTACACCTCCTTTTATTCTTTTAATAAAAATAAATTCTTGAAATATCATGAACGTAAAAAAAATAAGGAGAAAACTATAAATTAAACAATAAAAAAGTAAAATTAAAAAAATACAGGATAAAAAATTAAAGATGTTTTAAAAAATAAAAAAAGGAGATGTACTTGTGCATGTATCATCAACCTTTGAGTTGTTATCCAAAGCTTTGGGCCTAAGCCCCACCCATCTAAAAGATATGGGTTCTGCTGATGGGCTTTTGGCACTTGTTATATACACCCGTTTTATTTATCAACGCACCTCCCTTTCCTATTTTCTCTTCCCAAAATAAGTTCTTGAAGTTTCCTTACCCCTTTAACATATATCTTCATTCTAATGCCACACTCCTCACTTGTAAAATATATCTTCATTATTATCTTGCCTATCTTGACCCATAATAATGATGGGTTGTGTTTTTCGGTTTGTTTGTTGGAAATTTTTTTTTCTTTCAAGAGAAGTATATGTTTTAGCTTAGGCTCATTATACATACACATTTTTTGTTTAATAAATACACCACCTTTCTTTTTTTAAGAATTTTTTTAAATATACTTCTAATTAATTTCCTATTTAATTTTTTTAAAAAAATTATTTTTTCATTCACCCATTTCTTTCATCCCCTTCTTCGACGAGTGTATATCTTTAATCACTCTTCTTTGATTTCTTTCTTTCTCGCTTTTTAGTTCTTATTTTTTTTTCTTTGCCAATCAAGATAATTATATTCTAGGGTTGAATATGTTTTTATCCTCCAAAAATTCATCCAATTTGTTTTTAGTCTCTTAAAAAGAATTTCTTCTCTTTAATCCTTCAAATTAGTAAAATACTTCTGTCCTATGTTAAACTTTCTTATTTTTTCTGTTATGAGTAAGTCATGTCACCATCCTAGTCACTATTAATTTTATCTTATGTGGTCATCTTATCTATTTTTAAGTCCAAATCATATTCATTTTTAATTTTATTTTTAAAAGTAAAAAAGTAAGAAATTAAAAAAGATATTCACTCGTTTGTTAATTGAAACTTGAATATACGATCATGCCATTGAAACCAAAAACTCAATCTTTCCCCATTCACAAAAAAGACATCTCCCTGTGGTTTCCTTTTTTCTCTCTCTATCTCTTTTTTCTTTCTCTTTCCATTTTTCATTCTCATTTTTGTTTGCTTATCTATTTACGTTTCCCTTTCAAAACATGTACAAGATATAGCGTGTGTTTGGTGTTGCGTTTTAAGAATTGATTTATCAAAATCAATTTTCTAAACGTAGAAGCTATTTTTATCAGTTTCAGGAAAAATTGATTTTCACCCTTGAAATTATGTAAAGAAGAAAAAACCAAACATCTATTCAAAGAGAGGAATCACGTTTTTTGAAAAAAAAAATACGTGCGTTAGCCTGATGCAACGCGCATCCAAACACGCTAATAGTAATCGAGTTTGAGGCTTTCGAAAGTTGAATTCGTGTAATGCTTTTGTGATTGAGTTGGATTTTCTTTATTTTTTTTTTCAATCCCCCAATTACTTAGATTATGATTCTTATATTTTTTTCTAGAGGTTGCATATTTTTCTTTAAAACTGCAACTGCAATTGCAACTGTAAATTTTAGTCTAATAGGAGGCAATTTATAGACACATAGTTATAATCCTATGAAGTATCAATTCATATAAATTGAAAAATAGTTTTCTTTTCTTGTGGTCAAGGTAAAAGGGAGTGTATAATGTAAAGGAAACAAAATATGGCATGGAAAGTTTAAGCCAACATGCATAAGTGTGATTATATTGATTATAAAACTTGTAAATAAAAACGTGGTTTTCTATGACATGATTTTTATTGGTTTTTATAGGTAATCTAAATACAAAAGAGGAAAAATGAAGTTGGAAGGGGAAGAAAAAACTAGAATACAAAACAATCTAATTGTATAGAAATCAATTAAAGAATAAAAAATTACAAGAACTCACCAAATAGAATTGTTGTGAACTTGACGAGAACTTTTTGAAGTGAGAATGTTAACAATTAAAACATAAAAAATTAACTTCTATTATGTAATCAATTATGATAATTTATGCTATAATATTTAAATAGCCTTAACTTTTATATTTAGGAGTATATACCTCTTTTTATTTCGAAAAGTGAGAATACTTTGTACTGCAAGATGTGGAGGAACATGATAAGGAACAGATATTGTGTGGCCACAATGAGAAATTGATAGTATTATATTAGGACTACTCAACACAAGTCCAAGATAACTTTTTCAAGTGATTTAAGAATATGAGATTTGTGATGATTGTGATGTCGTGATAAAAGTAATGAGCAAAGTAAGACTCATCGTGTCCATGTTAGTTGTAGATATTTGATTTCAAATCAATTAGTATATTCAAACACATGATTATTTAATTTGTGATACTTTTCCTCAAAGTCTTCACAGCCTTAGAACCTTCCAGATTTTTTTTCCCTAGAGCATAGCATGTATGCAAGCCTACATTATTTAGACACTATATTAACACACTGATTTTATTTTTGAGCCATTTTACACCCTTCGTTGCTAAAAAGAGAAAGGAAGATCCAACAATCCTTCGATGCTGAGATATAATCATGCAATGCTATATGTTACTAACCCCCCTATGAAAGTTTCTTAGCATAGGCTGAGACAATATCCCTATTTGTCTTCTATCATGTATGCAATTACATAATTACAGTAATAAAAATTTATAAGGGTATGTGGAGGTTTAGGGGAGACGAATTACTGCACTAAAAAAGGGGGCATGCCTGAAGTGTACTTTCATTACCATAGTATGTTCTTTCATACATAATAACCTCCACCAGGTGATTTCTTTCCATATAATGACTAGCATAATATCAAACTAATGTTTGAAGTGCTGACTATATTTGCCTTCTACTACACATTTGGATTTAGAAACTGAAATTTTAAAAGTTGTGCAGATAAAGCTCTAAATTACAACATTTTTGTGATGGTGTCAACAATATATAGCTTCAAGATATTGGTGATGAAAGAAATTGCTTTGCAAAATACAAAAGAAAATCCTATACAATTTGTATTACCTATGCAAAATAAATGGTATTTGTTTATGCCATCTAAAAGCAATTATTGTGCAAAATACAAAAAATAAATCCTATACGATTTATACCCGTCAACTAAATCAAAGCCTTATATTCAATTGTTGTACACAACTTGCATATCCAAAAAATAATCCAACAAGGTTCTAGAACTAGTGATCTATAACAGCATAATCTTTCATTATTTTCCTAATGTAGACCCATCATCTGCTCCTTTATCAGTCCCCTAGTTATTGTTGTTTTTTCCTGTAGCAAGTGCACCAATCCCTAAGTTTTTCTTCCCTGTTTTAGCTTTCTTTGAAACACTAGTTACCTGCAATTTTGAAAGAAATTGTTATAATTAAAATAATATCTAGCATGCATATACTACTAATGCCATGTAAGTAACATTATACCTCCATGTTAGCAACTTCATTTTTCCTCTTTGGCAGTGAAACATGTGGACCAGCAACACTTGCAACATTCTTTGTCAAATCAATTCTAGCATTATCATTAAGTAAGTGTTGTGACAATAGTAGAAAAAAAATTAGCATATTATATATCATAGTTGGTTGCATTCCAGTAGTCAATATTTGATACCATAGCAACTGCATTTCCAATAGTTGCAGTAGCAATTGCATTTCCAATAGTTGTAGCAACAATTGTATTTGCAGTATTATCATGACTAGGATTAACATTTACTATGCCCTGCAAAGAAAGCAAAAAATTAGCATTTGCTATCATTGTGAATTAACTATATGTAATTAATTATTAAAATCACCTTTGTTGTTGGTGCAACTTGATTTTGGGAACAAACATCGACTGGTGCATTGTTTATGATAGTTTTAGTCTTAGTCACATCATCTAGAACAGGTGGAGGTAGCTTACATTTCCTAGCGTTGTGGCCTACCTTGTGGCACTTGCTACATCCGTTCCTTGTATTTGACCTTTCTAGTTTAGTGGCTGTTGAATCTTCAACTAGTTCTCTTATTCGTAGTTTCTTAGGCCTTCTTGGTCCACGTTTGTAAGTAGGAGGTAAATAGGTTCATTATCAGTCTTGGGCCATAAACGCTCTCCGTTATTAGGTGCAATGAACTGGCCATAGCATTTTTTATATGCCTCTCTTTAGTAATATTTGTGCACATAAAATTTTGGATCTTCTCCCGAATACGTAATGGTAGCCACTACATGCCTACAAGGGATCCCAACCAACTCCCAAAAGTTACATGAACATGACTGTGCTTTAATGTCAATGACAAATCTATCCCTCCCAACCATGTGAGTGACTTCAAATTTTGAAACATTACACCACGAGGCTAACTAATTTCCACTTTTCTCAATTTTCCTATCAAGTCTCTTTCTAGGCTTAGGCATATAACATTACCCTTATACCTCCCTAATTTTTCGTTTAATGCAACAAACCTATTCATGATATACACCCTAATCCACTCAAACATTTTAATGATAGGCTTATCTCTAGCTAACAAAATGGTGCTATTGAAGAATTCACTAAGATTATTCATCAAAACATCGCACCTAGGATAATAACTAAAGGCATGCTTGCACCATGTTGTTGTGGGAATTGCACTCAACCACTCATGCCTTCTCATTCACTTTCTTAAGCTCATCCATTTTCTCATCCCATGCCTCAACATATGTAGCCTTGGCTGCTGCCATCATGATATCCCTAATTAATGTTCCTCCCCCAAACTTCTACTTTAAGTTACAATACAAGTGTCTCAAACAATATCTATGTTTAGTTCCCTCTAAGAGCTCTTCAAATACTGAGATCAAACCCTATAAAAAAAAACAAGAAGCATAGGTTTAAAGCATCACATTTCAATTATAACATTTAAATTAAATATGTATGATTGTAGTATACTTACTTTTTGTTGGTCAGAAATGATACCCATCTATAGGTTGTAATGTCACCAATATCTTCTAAAAGTAATGTTAGAAACCACCTCTATGACTCCTTTGTCTCATTCTCTGCCACTGCAAAAGCAAATGGAAAATATTGATCATTGGGATCTTGTCCCACCACTATTAATAATTGCCCTCCAAATTTGGTCTTTAAATGACAATCATCAACACCAATGAATGGTCCGCAACCTGCCAAAAAAATCATTTTTCATCTGTCTAAACACAAGTAAAAGCTTCCAAATGTTGGTTGAAAGAAACCAGTTGTTCGTTCAAGCTGTAACTTACAGGTGGTCCCTACACACACTCTTCTAAGTTCAACACCGTATGACCATAGTAGTGAATATTGGTTGCTGAAATCACCTTCCATAATATCTTTCACTATTTTTCTTCCTTTCTAAGCCCTTCATTCTGTTATTCCAGTACTGTATTGTTTCCTCATGTCATCCATAATCTCATGGACAGTCAAGTTAGAGGCATTCCTAAATTTTTCAGTAAGTATCTTAGCAATCCATTCTGTCGTAGCATTCTTGTTATCAAAAACTCTTCGACAATTATGTTTCCCAATTAAAGTTTGCATCCTATATGTTTCTTTGTCACGTGGTTTGCTCACATTCATAAGGAAATCACAATTTCTAGTGCAAATTACCCTTACTCTTCTTGAGTCATTCTTTACAAGCTTTATTTGACATTCGTTCAAAACTAAATGCTCACAAGCAACTTCCTTGAACTCTTTTAGTGATGTGAATTCCATTCCTAACTTAAATTTGAAGGACTTACACATGTCCTCTTTGTTGTACTTTGGAAACTTTGGCAATCGATCCATGTCACCTTCATCTAAATCATATTCCAAGTCAGACTTTAATTCTTCACTATTATACTCTACTAATGTTAGTTGTGTCAACCATATCTATTGACATATCAGTTTGAAAACTAGTAGCTCCTTCATTAAAGTTGGATTGCACTAAACTTGGAGTCATATTCTGCATTGTTTTGATCTTAACATTCCCCCTACATGGAAATTTTTCCTTACACTTACCTTTCACCTCCTCAATTGTATTTTTTAGAAGAAACTCAGTTGCTACTAGCTCTTGCAATCCAAACCAATCATCAATTCCAAGATCTCTCTTTCACTATCATCAAAATGGACATTCTTAACTAACTCATCACTACTATCAATATCATCGATCCCATCCCCTTTATAAGGCCCCTTATCCTTCGCACCAGTTTGAAGAACAACATCGCCAACATCTTCTCCCATTTTATCAACATACACATCAACCTTGAACTTGTTATTTTCTGCAAAATTTGCAAGTTTTGTAGCTTCCTTGTCATTTAACAGTTGTTTTAAACCATCTTTTAAAGTATCATTTTTACCTTTCCACCACATTCTTATTTCCCCTTCGTAACCTAAATCTCTCACTAGTCCTACAGCTTGAAAATATGACCATTTATCAGGGTCTACATCATGTACCACATCTATTTGTCTCCCCTTATAACAGTCACAATTCAAATCCGCAAATTTTCCTTTGTGGTGGAAAGAAATAGAGAGTATAGACCCTGTACAAGAAGCATAAAATAGAAAGAAAAAAAATTATAAGGACTACTTTTTAGAAAAAGTATTGTTGATTCACCACTGGGTAGCAAACATGGTAACAGAATTATCATTCAACTAATAAAAAACATGTAGAATCTAATTGTTACGTTTGTTACACTATTAGAACTAGATGTAGCAATTCATGATGATTCTTTCAATTAACACAAAAAGAAAATAAAGAATAATAAATTGATCATCAATTTAATAAGAAAGTGTAGGTCCTAACACAAAAGAAAATGAATAAAATTGATCATCAATTTAACTAGAAAGTGCAAGTCTGAACAACCTCTTCAAATGGTTCAGGGGAGATTTTTATTCTAATGGGATATTAAATTAATTGAGCCACAATTTTAGGGATTATTGGACTAGCGAAGTCAATGTTGGTTTGATTTCAGAACAAGCACGAGTAAGTGACAAGGACACAAAGCATGACAAAGGAAGAAGGTGACTCCATTAACAAGATAGAAAAAAAGACAAACAAGCATTACCTGACATTGAAGCTTGCTCAATTGCTTCACTAAATCACGTCGCTAAATCACATTATGCAATTGATTGAATTTGTTCCAACCTTTGCCGATTCCAGAACGAGATGCTCAACTTCCACAGGCAATTTGTATGCAATTTGTCGTGAAGAGTAAAAAAGGTTGTTGTAAAACTAGTTTTACCCTATCTATAACACAACCTAAAATAATTAACTATATTTTAATTAAAAATATTTTCCATGTTAGATAAAATTAATAGTGACTAGGATGGTGACGTAGCCTATGACTTAAAAGAGTTATTTTGCTAATTTGGAAGATTAACAAGAAATTCTTTTTTTTAGGACTAAAAACAAATTGGATGAATTTTTGAAAGATCAAAAACATATTTAACCCTATATTCTATCTTTGTATTTTTAAAACTTTATTTTTTTACTTTCAATTTTATCATTCATTAAACTTTAATTTTTCACTCTATCTTCATTGTTCCATACATTGAATACAATATACAAATTTATATGTTAAATTACATTTTCTTTTTATAATTTTTATTTATTTCATATAACTTATACACACCAAGTAATTTGCCACATGAAGAAGAAATAACTCAGTGAATTTTTTTCTATTCATAAAATATTTTATCAGTTCTAGATATTCTTTTTCATATTTTTGAAGAATTATTTTTAAAGTATTTTTTTATAATTATGAAAAGTATTTTCTATAATAGAAAATTTAGTGTTTTAAAAATTAATTTTTAAAATTATGAAAAAATGTTTTCAACAAGAATAGAGATTTTGTTGAAGTTCAATGTAGAAAAGCCATTAAAATTTAAATATGGTATTTTTGAATTTAATGTTTTGTTGAAGTTCAATTCAGATGCAACAAGTTACATTTTAGGTTGGGGGGAGGTATTGAGTGCTTGAAAAAAAAAATTGAACAATAGAGGTAAGGGGTTTGGACAATCAAAATATTTAAAAAGAAAAAAGAAAAATAAATTTTAAGGGTGCTTTAGGAGACATGAAAAACATAGGTGTATTATTAGGGTAGTGAGATGATTTTAACAAAAGCTTATGTTTTTATTTTTCATCGAGTATTTATATATGTCTCTGTATTGATATTGATATGATAGTCTACTTTGTACATAAACTCATGGTTTTATTTTATCATTACACAAAAGGTCTTATACGGATGAATTGTGTGTGTGCATATGTTTATTTTCTTGTTTTTAGAATATGAAATTTTATTTGTATTCGAATAATTTTATTCTCAAATGAATTAAATGATTTAACCTCTTATTAAAAAAAACTAATTTCTTATATTTTATTTTGTTGTTTTTGTTGTTATTGTTTGGTTGTCACCTAAAAAAATCTTATATCAAGAAAGTGTGTTTTATAAAGTCGTGTAACTTCTTTTATTCAAACCATGTGGGTCTTTTTGTTTATATAGTAACAATTTCACTATAGAAATTCTAAGCATTCTGATAATGGTTTTGATAATGGTTTCCTCGATGCTTTCTCAAGGGCCCTATTGATATTAGTGACCTCCATGTTCTTTATCTGGACAAATGAATTGACATAACTCATGTACCTATACTTTGATTATTAGTATTGAAAATATTCAAGCAAGACTTGCATTGTTTTATGCATATTGTTCCACAATTTTTGGTACAATATAACACATAAATACATTAATTTTCTAATAAATATAAGATACAGATGTGACAAAAAAAAAATGATTATAATTAGTATTTCTAATGTTGAAATTTTATCAGGACTATGAATAGAAGATTTGAGGTTCAAGGCAATTTTTTTAAAATAAATTTATAAGTTATTAATTTATATAATATTTTTCTAGTTTTATCTAGCTGTTAAATCATTTTGGGAGGTTTGTGGCGAAGACATTTTTTCCTCTTGCAACTCTTGGCTCGAAGTTGGTGAGCTTCCCCCACACATCAACGACACAGTGATTGCTTTAATCCCAAAGCGTCCTAATCCATCTGACATGAAAGAGCTTCGACCAATTGCTTTTTGTAATGTGATATATAAAATACTTTTGAAAGCTTTAGCAAATCGTCTAAAACCTCTTTTCCAAAAGTGTGTCTCCCTCGAATAGGCTGCTTTTGTTCAAGATTGCCTTATCACAGACAATGTGCTCGTAGCGTTTGAAGTTATCCACTACCTACGTTGTAGTGGAAAGAGAACTAAACATGAAGCAGCTTTGAAGATCGACATAAGCAAGGCTTTTGACTGGCTCTCCTGCAACTATCTGCGTTGCATCTTGGAGCGATTTGGTTTCTGCAGAAAATGGGTAAGTTGGATGATGATGTGTATCACTTCTATTCATTTTCAAGTCTTACTTAATGGTAACCGAGTCGGCTCCATTGTTCCTGGTATAGGTCTCCGACAAGGAGACCCCCTCTCCCCTACCTCTTCATTCTAGGTATGGAAGGATTATCCAGCCTTATTCATAAAGCTGAACTTCTAAGGAACATGCATGGCATTCAAATCTGTCGTGGTGCTCCCAAACTGCATTATCTCATGTTCGCGGATGATGTATTCCTTTTCTTCCAAGCTTCTGAGAAAGAGACCAATGAGGTTGCTACCATACTGAAAACTTTTGAGGTAGCCTCTGGTCAAGCCATAAACTACGATAAATCTTAAGTATTCCTGAATAGACATGCACCTCCTACTATTCATAATATGTTATCTAATACTCTGCATGTCTAGAATTGCGTGACCACTAGTAAGTACCTTGGACTCCCATCTATGATTGGACGAAATAAAAATGAAGTTTTCAGGTTTATCAAGGAACGTATATGGAAAACACTATAGTCTTGGAGCCACAAATTGTTATCTAAAGCAGGAAAAGAGACCCTCATCAAGGCTGTTTTGCAGGCTCTCCCTTCATATGCTATGAGTGTCTTCACGATTCCAAACCGCACCATAGATGAGATTGATAAATTACTAAATGCCTTCTAGCGGGGTGCAAATTCAAATAAGCATAAGGGAATTAAGTGGATGCACTAGGAAAGGCTAGCCATCTCCAAACTTGAGGGTGGACTTGGTTTCAAAAATTTATTTGCCTTTAACCTTGCTATGCTTGGTAAGCAAGCTTGGAGGCTTCTTAGCAACCCAAACTCTCTGATCAATAGAATCTACCAAGCAAAATACTACCCCAAAGGTAACTTTCTCAATGCTTCACTAGGCCACAATCCTAGCTATACATGGAAAATTCTTTGGAGCACCCAACATCTACTTAAGAATGGCATTCGTTGGAGGCTTGGGAATGGGAATACCATTCCTGTTTGGGGCGAGCCTTGGATCAAATACAATGACAATTACCATTGTATTCACCCTCATGTCCCCTCAAATAGCCAAGCTTTTAAAGTGTCTGATCTGATTAGCAATGATAAGAATGGTTGGAACGATGTTTTGATTAATTCCCTATTCGATAAGGACACCAACAACCAGATACTCAACATTCATATTCTTAGCCCACACTGTGAAGATAGACGTATTTGGAAATGGAATCCCTCGGGTTCTTACACTGTTCGTTCTACTTATAAAGGTTATCTCCAGCATTGCCTCTCCATGGGTAATCTTAATGTTCTTGGTCCATGGAAAAACATTTGGAATCTATGCATTCCCCACAAAATTAAGCATTTCATATGGAGATTGATGCAAGACATCCTTCCCACGCGTCCAAACCTTCAAAAGAAAGGCATTTGTTACCCAAGTACATGCTTCCGATGTAATATTGATATCGAAAACACCTGGCACACTTTCTTTAGTTGTCCATCAGCCAAGTTGTGTTGGCAGGGAAGTAATCTTCACTCTTGTATCTTGAATTTGATCAACTCCTCTAATGGTGTCTTTAACCTCATATCTCATATTTTGCAGTATTGGACCCCTCAAGCTGCTGCAGAATTTTCCATGATTCTTTAGAGCATGTGGCACAGCCGGAATGCTTTGCACTGGAGTAGCACTCCTTAGAACCCAAACGAGATCAATCTCCGTGCCTCCTCCATGCTTCATGATTGGGCCACTGCTAATAAAATCGACTCGGTCTAGCGCACTAAAACCCCAACCAGACAATGGTGGTCTCCTCCTCCCCAAGGGTCTTTTAAGTGCAACATTGCCACTCACTCTTTTCCAGTGGAAGGACTTACTGGAATAGGCATCTGCATTAGAGACCATCAAGGTGCCTTTGTCAGAGCTCGTTCAACTACTATTAAAGGTTGTTTGGAAGCCCATGTTGGTAAAGCCTTTGCTCTTAATCGCATAACCAGAACCTAGAGGACATTATTTTCGAAACCGATTGTAATCGCATCCCTTCCTATTTCTCCAATCATCACTCTATTGACATAACTGAATTTGGTTGCCTTCTTGACCAATGTAAGCCTATCATGTTAACCCCCAAACTCTCATGTGAGTTTCTCTCCTAGATTTGCCAATATTGTTTCTCATAAGCTTGCTAAAGCAGCAATGAAAAGTGCAAATCTCTGTGATTTTTTTCACATTTCAAATTGTATCATTTATGATATTCTTAATGATATGAGCTAAAATTTTGAATTTCAAAAAAAAAAACTTTCAATAGACAAAATGATTAATACAATCAATCTATCTTATAAAATTGTTAGTTTTAAATAAGATTTAAGTAATTTTAATTATGAAAAAAAAATTTACAACGACAATTGTCAAATGATATTTTATATTTTATAAGCAATACATGTATTTGAAAAAGAATCTAATTTTTTGATGTAATGTAATACTTTTATTGGAATGTTAATTATTTTATTTAATACTTTTAATTTTGAAAATTGTAACACCCCAGTTTTTATTTCATTTTATTTATTTTTTTTAATTGAGGGTATTTTGGTAAATTTATAAAGGTTTAGGGGTGATTTAGTAGCTTGGAACCGGCTGTTCCGGAATTGGAACGAGCCGTTCCAAACTACCAAATTGTATGTGAGTTAATAGCCCAGAATGGGCTGTTCTCAAGTTGGAACGGGCTGTTCCGGACTATTAAAAGCTGCCTTAAATTCTAAGTGGGAACGGGCTATGGCAGTTGAGTAATAAATGCACACCAGAACGGGCCGTTCTGGTTTGGGAACGGGCCGTTTTGGGTGTGACTTTTGCCCA